AGTAGATATTTTTTCTAGCGAAATGGAATCACGAGGGCATGACCATTCTCCATTTGCTGCTTCCGCGTCATTGCTTACGTTTTTGTTTTGGGTATCATGTTCAGCACTAATAGATACCAAGATTTTTACCAAAAAAAAAAAAAAAAGACAATTGATACCAAGAAAATCACCTCTCTCTTATACGATTGAGGCCATGACTTGACACCTCACACAATCTTCATTACCCTCTTTCGTAGATTTTTCATTAGTAAAAAGGAATCTTGAGTGCATGACCATTGTCCAAGTGCTGCTTTTGCGTCATTGCTTACGTTTTTGTTTTGTGCATCATGTTAAAATGAGATTTGCCAGAGATTAGGGCAAGGTTCCAGTCAAAGAACAATAATGCATCTTTCTATGACAGTTCTTTCAAATTGTACTTTTTTTTCTTTTTTTTTTTTACTTTGAGAATTTTTGAGATAGTAGAATTAATAGTATTTAAGTGTAAAGTTTAAAATTTTATGTGCTAACATCCTTACGTAAAAAAAAGTATGATCATTAGTCATTTAGTGATGGACAAAATGTTTCGTTGTCGTTGTTGGTAACATCTTCACCTGTAATGTGGACCTCACTCTGGGAGTGGTGTCCACTCTGCAGTGACTTGACCATACTTTTTCACCACACCATCGGTCATATTGACTATCATCTAGCGTAAGGGTAATTTGGAGATTTTGAAACCGCCTGGCAACAGTAATAGTTGCCTTGATCCACCCCTATTTTAATATATACCACCCTCTATTTCATAATATGCGTGTTAACTCTCCAGCATAATTTGCATACTTTTCCCAGATCTATTGAAGTGAAGATGGTCGATCTTGTCTTGAGTCCTATTGTTGATGCCACCATATCCAAGGTGATTTCAACTGCTACTGAGCAAATCAACCTTGCAGTCAGTTGGAAGGCAGAGCTCGAAAAGCTTCGCGGCAAGTTGGACATGATCCGTGCTATGTTGGAAGATGCAGACAGAAAGCAAGTTGGAAGCTTAGCTGTGAAGCTTTGGCTTGAGAAGCTCAGAGACGTGGCTCGTGATGCTGAGGATGTTTTGGACGAGGCTGTTTATGAAGGACTGAAACAGGAGGTACAGACTCGAAAGCAAATGATGAAGGTCTGTCTCTGCTTTACTTTTTTCAATCCTTTCATATTTCGTCTGCTGATGGCTAATAAGATCAAGAATCTTATTGCTTCTATAGTTGAGATTAATGAGGAGGCTACTCATTTTGGACTTCAGTCTAGACTTGCTACCCAGGAACCTGGAAGCATCCCCCAAACAACATACTCCTCCCCTGGTTATTGTCCTAGAGTCATAGGAAGAGAGGATGATGTGTCAAAAATAGTTGACTTGTTGATTGATTCAAGTAATAAGGAGCCCCTTTCTGTCATATCTGTAGTGGGTATGGGGGGTCTGGGAAAAACTACCTTAGTAAAATCAGTGCAAAATCATGAGAAAATAGTGAGGTATTTTGGTAAAATAATTTTCATTTGTGTGTCTGAAGTCTTTGATGTCAAAAGAGTTCTAAAAGAGATGTTTGAGTCTCTTAAGAAAGTGGGTTGTTCAATTGAAAACCAGGCTACTCTCGTGGGAGAAATACAAGATGAGTTAAAAAATGAAAACTATCTCCTCATCTTAGATGATGTGTGGAATGAGGATAGAATGAAGTGGGAAGCCTTGAGGGGTTGTTTGTTAGAAATAAATAAAAATGAGGGGAGTAGGATGGTTGTGACAACTCGAAGTGAAAAAGTAGCTTCTATAATGGGAACACTTAGAGAACACATGCATCATCTTCAAGGACTAGAAGATGAAAGGTGTTGGTCTATAATAGAGCAGAGAGCATTTGGAGGTTCTCCAGTGCCTAATCTGGAGTTGGAAGCAATTGGAAGGCAAATCGCTCAAAAATGTAGAGGTGTGCCATTAGTTGCCAATGTCATAGGGGCTAGTTTAAGCAATCAAAGGGGTAGAAATGAGTGGTTGTCAGTTAAAAATAAATTTGACGCATGGGGTATTAGTTCATTAGGAGATGATAGTAGGGAATGGATTGATCAAGCTTTACAATTGAGTTTTGATCGCTTGCCAAACCCTTTGAAGCAACGTTTTGCCTTCTGTTCCATTTTCCCCAAGGATTCAACAATTAGCAGAGAGATGTTAATTGAACTTTGGATGGCAGAAGGCTTTCTTCAGCCATCAGAAGGAAGTTCAATGGAGGATATTGGTGACAAGTATTTTAATGACTTGTTATCATATTCTTTGTTTCTAGAGGAAGAAAGAGATTCATCTGGTAAGATTAAGTCATGCAAAATGCATGATTTAATTCATGATCTTGCCACTTCCAATTCAAAATCAGAAACACTTATTTTGAAGGCTGGTTCAGAGAGCAATATTGCTCATGTTCGGCATTTGAATCTCGTTGATGCTCAGGAGATGGTGCCAGCAAATTTTGTGGAGGTGGCTGGAAAACTACATTCCTTATTTCTTAAAGGTGAAATTTTGGGGAAGTTGCCAGATAGCTTCAAAAGGTTACGCATTCTTAGCTTTGAAAAAGGTAGCCTTCGGAGAATTAATATTGAGCAGTTGCCAACTTGGATCGGCAAGATGAAGCATTTGAGGTATCTAGACATTTCATACACCGACGTTAAAGAACTACCCCAGTTTATCATGGAGTTGTATAGTTTGCAGACACTGAGGTTCATGTATTGTTATCAGATTGTAAAACGGCCAGAAGGGGTGGAAAACTTAGTCAGCTTGAGACACATTTATTTCAGTGAAGAAATGTGTATGCCACTCAGAATTGGTAGGCTAAAGGATCTTCAAACGTTGCAGTTATTTGTTGTCGGTCTACAAGAGGGAAGTCGAATTGAGGAATTGGGATGCTTGAGCCAACTTAGAGGTGAATTAAGGATATGTCATCTAGACCATGTTGAAAACTACTCAGAAGCCAAGAAAGCAAAACTTTCAGAAAAGATTGAACTTTATGGGTTGAGTTTGGAATGGGGGGTATTGGGGGTATTGGAATGGGAGTTATTGAAATGGGGGGTATATAGAAATACAGAAGAATGTAATCATGCTGAAGATGTGTTAGCAGGCCTCAAACCTCCCCCAAATTTGAGAGACTTAACTATGCAATCTTATGGAGGAGAAAAATGTCCATCATGGATGGAGCCTAGTTTGAGTGAATCATTTTCACTCAACAATTTGGTAGACTTGAAATTCTTAGATTGTGGAAAGTTGAAAAGCATTCCAATCTTGAGCGGGTTATCATCTCTTCAACAGCTTCGAATTCAAAATTGCCTTGAATTGACCAGAATCGGAGATGGAGCATGTGCCTTTCCAGCGTCCCTCAGCCGACTAATGATTCATTTTTGTCCGAGATTGGAAACAATTGGGGACAGTATTTCGACTCTCACATGCCTAGAAGAGTTAGATCTATATGGATGTGAAGATCTGAGGCCCATTGTAAGTGTAAATGGGCTTTCCTCTCTAAAAAAATTAGAGATTCACGGATGCAATTCAGTGGTGAGTCTACGTGGACTGTCCTCCTGCACTGCACTTAAAGAATTGACCGTGTTTCTCTGCCCGAATCTGATCTCCATCTTCGAAGACTTGAAGGATTTGCATTCTATGGTTAAATTACGTATTTTCCACTGTGAAAATTTGAGTATTCCGGAGGAGAGCTTCAGCTGTCTTGTCTGCTTGGAGTTTTTGGGAATTGGTGGTTTCTCAAAAGAGTTGGAGGAATTCCCATATCTTAATTCCATCCACCACCTCCACGCCTCCCTTCAACATTTATACTTGTTTGGGTGGGAAAAACTAACGTATCTACCACCTCAAATTCAACACCTCACTTCTCTAAAGAAATTGAGTATATATGGTTTCAATCAAGTGGAAGCTTTGCCGGAGTGGTTGGGAAGCTTGTCATCTCTTCAAACTCTGTGGATTAGGGACTGCGCAAATTTGAAATATCTGCCTTCTGCACAAGCCATGCAACGCCTCTCCAAGTTGCAGTATCTTCAAACTTCTGGATGTCCAGAGTTTAAAGAAAGATGTGCAAAGGAAACCGGCCTTGAATGGTTTAAAATTTCTCACATTCGATACATCGAAATATATTAAGTGCGCATCCAATAACAAGGAGATTGGGCCCTTTTTCTGAGGTATATATTTAAATTTCTTATTAATCCTCAACTTCTCTTCTTCCTTATAATAAATTCCACCACTAATTTTGCTTCTTTCTTCAATTCAGACTTCAAAGTAACAAAAAAGCTCAAATTTATCAATCCAAAGGGTTACTTATGGCTGCTTCAATTCTCTTAACCTACAATGCTTGTGAAAATTCTTTAAAAGGTAATTTCTTATAACTCCTAATCTTTTCCATATAAGCATTCTTTTACTAGCTTGTTTGGTTTGAGTGGAGGGGGATAAAATTCCCTATTTGGCTAACAAAATTGTAGGGGAGGGAATTGGAGGGAGGATTTACCTTTAATTTCATTTATAATTTTAGTATAACTAAATGAAAAAAGGAGAAGCAGGCAAGAGGGACGGAAACAGATGGTATTGTGGCTCCTCCATTTCCCTCAAACCAAACAAGGGTAGGGATTTCTCATTATTCCCAATGTATAATAAATGATTCCCGTGGTTAGGAGGAATTGAAAATGGGCGGTTTTCTCAAACTATTTATATAAGTACATGTTGAGTCTACTGGAAGTGTTTGTCCACACGAGTCTGCATCTTTGTATACATGTACATGCATAGGTCACTGGTTTACAGGTGCCTAAGAAATCCTCATCAATCCAGTAAGTTCTTAGAACTTGTAGCATGGTCTTTGAATAGGGTTTTATGAACTAGCTTCAAAATTTTTATCGTACAACTTGTTTGTGTAAGCATCCAGTTGGAGTAGTGTCTTAAATTATTTTAAGCAATCTATTTATGGGAGTATCAGATGCAGAGTAGCTTCTAGCTTTCATGAATATATAATTAAGTAAAATTTTCTTCCCCTTCTTCTGATTTTTCATTGTAAAAGATAGTTTTTTGTAGTCTGTTACTATACTGATTATTTGATTTTTCCTGTTTTAATGCAAAAACTAAACTTTGATTAATATTGATTAACTTTACAACCTTGTGAAATGTGGTGTTCAGTTATTTGAATTAATCATATAAGGAAATAATCAAAGTAATGATGAGCGTTTACTTGGTTTTATGTTGTTTTCTAGGGATTCCTATGCACTTAGGATGAGCAAGCTCTTGCTGGATATTTTTGTGATGTTGTTTCGGACGGCAGCATCTTGAATATTAAGGATTTTGATTGTAAGAGAGCTCTATGAAAGGGAAGCTTTGACACAATTGTTGGGGAACTTGTTCATTATTGGAAGACCAGATTTCTAGTCAAAATCTGAAATAATTGCCTTCTACTGGAGTCATGCAATGCCAAGAGGTACTGACTGATTGGAAGTTTCTTGCTTTCCAATATCCAAGTAGAATGAATGCATCCAATTCCAAGAATATTGAGCTTCTCAGGTACATTTTCTAAACCTCAACTCCTCTTCTTCCTTAAAAACTTGCCATCACTAAGCCTATCTTCACCCTATCATTAAGCAGTTGTATCTTTTATGAATTCTAACTCTTAAGCAACACCAGTAATTAAATTTGTCAATTCATAAGGTAAACCTAGGTTGTTCCAACTGTTTGCAGTGCATGAGGGATTCTTTTAGGTATCCTCTTTTGGCTTTTCTCAAAGAGGTAACTTCATGTTTCATGAATGAAATCAACAAGTTACACTATAATAAATTTTATTTCATTAATTCATTTTTTTCTAGAACCATTTGCTGGTTATGCAGTTATGGAGTTATCATGTACTTTGGATTTGAGCATTTGAAGAACTTTAGGTAGTGTTTAATTCACACCATGGAGAAGTAGCAGGGAGAAGGGAGGAAGCTTCTTGACAATGCAAAATATTATTCAAGTATGGCTTCTAGATCATGTATGAGTCTTAATTAAGTATTGTGTCTTTACAAGCATGTATAGTCTATGCAAGTAGTTAAGTATTTTTCTTGAAAATTTTGATAGAAAGAATACTGGTAGGTGTTCATGATTAGTATTACATTCCTTGTGCCATATGGCTTTTTGTAGATGAAGGGAAGAGCAGATGTAGCTTAGCTTCTGGACTATCTGATTATGGAGAGTTTTATAATTTGGAAGCTTTGGCATATTTGTTGTGAACTTGGCCTCTATTCAGATATTCAATTTCTGTCCATAATTTGAAATATTTTCCTTCTCCTTGGGCCATCCAATGCCAGGAGGTATTGATTGATTCAAAATTCATCACATTCCAATATCCAAATAGATGGAGTGCATTCAATTCTAAGAAGATTGAACTTCTCAAGTATGTTTTCTTAAACCTCAGCTTCTTTAAAAACTTCCCTTCCATCACTAAGTTATCCTCACCATGGCCATATCAGTAAGCATTTGTATCTTTTTATCAATTCAGACTTCAAACCAACAGCTGAAACCAAATTTGTCAATCTATACAGTAATCCCTGAATGTTCCAATTTTTTTGCGGTGTGATACATGAGGAATACTTTTAGGTAATCTTTTTTTCCATTTTCTGAAATGTTAAACTCATGGTTCATAAAAGATGTCAACAATTGACCATATAACAATTTTTATTCCATTCCTTTTTTCTATACCAGCTTATGTGAGAATGATCTAATTATCCAAAGATGGATCTATTGATTTCACATATTTAGCGATGATTCCAGGTTAGTGCTGTTTTAAATTCCCAGCACATCAAATCTATTGCATTCTTCATTTGCTGGTGTTTTTGGTTATCATACTCTCTCTCATCCTATCTCCGTTTTATCAATTTTGCAGAGCTTAGCCTTAAACTCATTGTCACCCTGTAAATTGAAGCAGAAGAAGGAATTATATCGTACATGACTTTAAGGTTAGATTCTTCAGAACTCATCATTTTCTCAAAACATAGCCATCAACTGCCACTCCATAAATATTTGTGACTCATGTCACTTTTCTTTAATATATATATATGTGTGTGTGTGTGTTTTTTTATCAATCATGTATGTTATTCGGAAACTTTGATTTGAAGTTAATGAAGAATATTAAGAGTTTACATTAGCTTTTGGAATTTAACATTTGGTCATTTACATTGTAAAATATGTTCTTATAAGACAATTAATACCATTGAGCATTAGGTCTCCTAATTAACTGCTTCTACTTTCATACTTGGGGGGACTATCTATCATCAATTTTCTGTTGTTAAATATCTTTCCCCATCTTATATTTTCCGCTGTAACTTTTCATGATCAATACATCGAGTTCTTTTTTTCCATTAATATATTTCCTTTTTACTTATCATACTCTCTCTCATCCTATCTCCATTTTCTCAGTTTTGCAGAACTTAGCCTTAAACTCAGTGTGACTCTGTAAATTGAAGCAGAAGATGGAATAACATCATATATGACTTCAAGGTTAGATTCTTTGAAACTCACCAATACTTAGCCATCAACTGCTTCTCTATAAATTTTTGTGACTCTTGTTACTTTTCTTTAATATATGCCCTTTTTTTATCAGTCATGTCAGTTATTTGGAAACTTTGATTTGGAGTTAGTAAAGAGTATTATGATTTTACATTAGGTATTGGAATTTAGAATTTGATCATTTACATAAAAGATAATAAATACAACTGAGCATGAGGTCTCCTAATTAAGTGCTTCTACTTTCATACTTGGGACTATATTAAATCCATTATCAATTTCTTCTTGTTAAATATCTTTCTCCTTCTTATATTTAATTTCCACTGTAACTTTTCATGATGTGTGCCTCAGGTACTATTTTTTCCATTAATATATTTCTTTAATTTTGTAGTGCACACGCATGGAACCAGAAGTAGTAATAGATTCACACCATAGAGCAGTAGCATGGGGAAGAAAAGGAAACCTCTTGACAAAGCAAAAGGTATTCAAGTATGCATTCTAGATCATTTTAAAGTTTTAAAAGTGTTAGTTGAGCATTATGTCTTTACATTTGAACATTTATAGTCTTTCACAATTGAGTAGGATCATACACTTTATTTTCTTGAAAATTAATTTTGATAATGAACCATACTTGTAGGTGTTAGTATTCCAGTCCTTAAACAACATCGTCTTTCAGAAGTAAATTAAGGAGAATAGCAGATGCAGAGTAGCTTATAAAATTTGATGAAGGTTTATTTGTGTACAATTAATTCTGAGCCTACAATTTGTCCAGAGTAAATTTCTTTTTTTTTTTAATTCCTCTATTTGTTCCTTCTACACTTTCTGGGAAATTGCATTGTTATAGTCCGTCGTCATCTCCATCGATTTTTTGATGTTTCTATTTCTTCAACAGCAGCTACATTTGTGCAGATTTCAGCTGTCAGTGGATTGTTTCTTGCTTGAGTATCACAGCTTTATTTCCAATTATCGAAAACCACATTCTTTCTAAAAGAGAGTTTAAGGTATGTCACAACAAAAGCTTAACTTTAATTAATCATATATAAACAATATATGATAGCAATGATGAGTGCATTCTTGTTTGCGAAAAATAATTCTTATCACTCGCTGTGCACTTAGGATGAGCGGACTTGTGCTGGACACTTGCATGATATTTGTTTTGGATGGTACCATCTTCACTAGTAGGTAGGTCAACTTAGAAAGCTTAATTTACATATTAGTTTCTAATAAGCTCAACAGAAAAGTTCTATTATTGTAATGCAATTTTACGGTTTTACCAGTTACTTTGCATTGGTAATGCAGGAGTCTTAACTCATCTAATACAACAAGGGATGATTATGTTTCTCTCTGCACTTTGATTACGCTATATAGACTTACAACATGACAATGGAAGCTACATTTCAATCTCTTTAAAGATTCCTCAGGTTTATGAGAATGCCAGTCACATTCACTAATGCTGTCTGCCTTACTCTCACACATTTTGGTTGTGATCTTGATGACATAGAATTATATGGGCGTTGTGGGCTGCAATAGGAGGACCATTAGAATTTTATTCTGTATGTAACCTAGCCACTTACCATTGTGGGTTGAGTTTTGATATAAGATTTGTTGAACTGGGGAGCTTCAATAGAAGGTTGAGTGTAAAGAAGAATTCTCAGATGCTTGCTTGTTCTTGATCTTCACATGGTGAAATGTTTTCCAAAACTCTTTCAGTGCATATGAAATTGTTTGTTTTTTCTTTGATTATCTCTCTTCTCGTATCTAATTGCCATGTCCTGCGACGTCTTAAACACAATCTGTGATGCTGGACTCGATCTTAGATCAACAACCCGAGTTTTGTCCTCAACAAAAAGACCAGTACGTGTTGGATGTTTTAGTTAATGTCCAATAAGAGATGCTGCTTGTAATGCTTTTTGATGCACAAAGGCTTTCAGGAATCATATTAACTTCTTGCCAAGAAATAGGCAAAAACATAAGAACTCAGAAATGTAATTAGAAAAAGCATAGGGCTCGATCCACTGGCTGTTATAAGGTTACATCTTTAATTTGAAACTCAACCATTGAAGAATTCTGGTAACTCATAC